GTTATACACCCCCTACCCCTGTCCCTGGTTTCTCAGTCCCCGCCATATCTCATTTCTGTGATGACAGTGACTTGATACAAAGACACTAAGAAGAACACAGAGGAAAAAAAAAAAACAAAAGCAACTCAAGAATCAGAAACAAGGTAACTCTAGAAGCTCCTATTTAAAAAATTAATGGGATAGGATCTCTACATACACCATAGAAATATACTTGTAGCCCTTCATCATTCTTAAAAGAATGATGAAGGGCTACATCATTTTCATCATTTTCTTAAAAAATCCTGGTGCAGATAGGGGCGCCTGGGTGGCTCCGTTGGCTGAGCATTCAACTCTTGGTTTTGGGGGTCATGACCTCAGGAGTCATGGGATCGAGCCCCGAGGCAGGCTCCCTGCTCAGCTTCTCCCTCTCCCTCTGCCCCTTCCCACCCACCCACCCCCCACTCCCTGGCTCGTGTGCTCTCTCTCTCTCAAATAAATAAATAAAATCTTAAAAAAAAAAATCCTGGTGCAGACCAATGATTTCTAAGATTGTCACTGTAATATTTAGTCATTTTTTAAAAACATGCACTGTATTTAATCAATACCCAGACACATGCACCATAGTGCAACTGTGGGCAGGGGAAACTGCCAAATTCCCAGGAGAGAGCACCAAAGCTGCAAGGCAGTGAGCATCCAATTATCTGGAAATTCCTTCCAACTCTGGCAGAAAGCACATAAATTCCGGGGATGACTCAAGAGAAACAGAGTGTGAGCTGTCAAATCGGAAGATGTCAGCATCAATCTTGCAGAACAGAATCACTAAGTGACACGAAGGCACTGTGTCATACTATAATCCAGTGTTTTCTTCTTTCCTGACGATCTAAGTAACAAAAACCTTAACTGATGGCATCTTCGATTCAGGACGATATGGTCTACTAAAACAAGTACACTATAAAAGGCAAAGTGAACAAAAGTCCTTTCAAATAGTGAATATAATATTTCAGTTTTGATAGCCTGTCTTAATTTATGTTTGTGAATAAAGGACAGAGAATCTTTTTTTAAATTTTTTATTGTTATGTTAATCACTATACATTACATCATTAGTTTTTGATGTAGTGTTCCATGATTCATTGTTTGTGCATAACACCCAGTGCTCCACGCAGAACGTGCCCTCTTTAATACCCATCACCAGGCTAGCCCATCCCCCCACCCCCCTCCCCTTTAGAACCCTGTTTGTTTTTCAGAAGGGACAGAGAATCTTAAAACTACAATGTTTGGCATTATCCCTATTAGCTTGCCATCAAAACCAAGGAACCATTTTCCTTGTTTGCTGAACCACGAATGGTGTAAGAGAGAGTTCAACCCTGAGAGTTCAATCCTTTCCAACAACGGAGCTTAAAATGGGATCCTTCAAGTAGAAGGCAGCCTTGTACAGAAGCAGAAGCCTACACTAAGGGGCCACGGCTAGGGCCGCTCAAGGAGCCTGGAGCGTGGCCTCTGGACCAGCACCAGGGAGCCACAGCCCAGACTCAGCAGGCCAATGGGTGCCTCCCACACGTCAGCACACAACATGCCTGGTACCTTGAGTGGACATGTCCTAAAAACTCACAAGATGTAAACATCAATCTATGAAAGTCTACGCTGACTCCTCCATTTCTTCCAAAACTACATGTTCCTTCACGTGGCTAGTTCTTATCTGGACCATGCTGCCCCACATACCCAAGTCTCATCCTCTCGTGCTTCTCTCTGGCTGGACCCCATTTTCCTGCCTCAACACACCTGTTGTTGCTCTCCCATCCTTTCTCTCTCTCAACTGGGAATCATGCTCAGGTAAATTCTACTCTATATTGTTTCCTGAACTTTTTAGAGTTTGTATGTTTCTTGTGTATAACTTTAAAGAAAACAGACAATAGTTTTGTCTTTCAAAAATACTTAAATTCATTTTCACTATTGAGGGCCACGGTTAACTGTTGGAGGACAGATATGTAGGCCAATGGAATGGAAGTGAGGGACCGGAAATAAGCACAAATATGTATGGCCAAATTTTTTTTTCTTTTTGACAAGGCCATTCAATGGGGAAATAGTCTTTTCAACAAATGGTGCTGGAACTACTAGATATCACATGCTAAAAAACAAAGTTAGACCCCTATCTCACACCATATACAAAAATTAACTCCAAATGGGTCAACCTAAATATAAGAGCTAAACTGTAAGACTCTCAGAAGAAAACACAGAGGTAAATCTTAATGACTCTGGATTTGATGATGTTTTCTTAGAGCAAAAGCACGAGTAACAAAAGAAAAAAAAAACATAAACTGGACTTCTTCAAAGTTAAAACCTTTTGTGCATCAAAGGAAAATATTAAGAAAGTGAAAAGACAAACTACAGAATGGTGGGAAATATTTGCAAGTCATATATCTGATAAGACTAGTGTCCAGTATATATATAAAGAACTCCTGCAACTCAATAAAAGATAAACAGCCCAATTAAAAAATGGGCAAAGGATCTGAACAGACATCTATCCAAAAAAGATATACAGGAGCACCTGGCTGCCTCCACTCATAGAGCGTGTGGCTCCTGATCTCGGAGTCGTGAGTTTGAGCCCTACATTGGATGCAGAGATTACTTAAATAAATATTTTTTAAAAACCACTAAGAAGACATACAAATGGCCAATAAACATATGAAAAGATGCTCAATATCATTAGTCATTAGGGGAATACAAATCAAAACCACAATGGGGTAACACTTTATAACCACTAGAATGGCTATAATCAAAAAATAAATGTAAGGATGTGATTGTGAAGAAACTGAAAATCTTATACACTCCTAGTTACAATGTAAGTGCTGTAGCCACCCTGGAAAACTGTTTGGCAGTTCCTCAAAATGTTAAATGCAGAACTACCATATAATCAAGTAATTCCAATCCTAAGTATATATCTAAGAAATGAAAGATATGTCCACAGTAAGAGCGTATGTCCACTTAGAAACTTGTACATGAATGTGCATAGCGCAGTATTCACAACAGTCAGAAGATGGAAATGACCCAAAGGTTCATCAACACAGGAATGGATAAACAGTGGTTTATATATAATGGAATAATATTCGGCCATCAAAAGGAATGAGGTCCTGATACATGCTACCGCGCTGATGAACCTCAAAAGCATTACGCTAAGTGAATGAAGCCAAACACAAAAGGCTGCGTATTGTATGGATCCCCTGTATATGAACTGCCCAGCGCAGATAAGTCCAGAGTCAGGAAGCACATGAGTGGCTGCCAGGGAACTGAGGAGGCAGGAATGGGGAATGATTACTTAACGAGTACAGGGTGTTCTTCTGGAGTGACAACAAAGCCTTGGACAGAGATGACAGTTGTACAACACTGCATGACTAAATGCCACCAAACTGTTTGTCTTAAACTGGTTAATTTTACGATACATGGATTTCACCTCAATGAAAAAACACAAAACTAAATATGCCTGCTTATCTAGTCTCCCTAAGGAAAGCTACTGGTTACAAAAGGAGAGATCTATATGAAACCAATACTAACAAATGGCCAGAATCCAGAATAAAAACCAGAATGCCTGTAGCTCAGATAGAAGCAAACACAAAATCAGTGAAGAACAAACAAAAGTGCATTAAGGGCCTTTTCACAGAACAGGAAATATATGGAGAGATGCTCAACTTCTTATGTCATCAGAGATCTATCCATTGAAGTGACACCAAGACACCACACCATAGCCATTCAACTGGCAAAAATCGTAAATTCCGGTAATGTAAGCACTGAAACAAGATGGATCCACAGACTATCTTGTTTCCCTGATGCTGGGAATGTAAGTTGGCATAACTGCTTTGGGAAAAATTAAACACACACGCCACGCCGCCTAGCAATGCTCCACTAGGTATATGGCGGCGATACACGTCTGCCCTTGTACCACAGGAGACAGAGACAAGAGTGCTCACGGGAGCACTACCACAACAGCAAAACCTTACGGATAAACTGTGATAAAGCCGCACGGTATCTCTCAGTAGTCAAAATGGATGCACTGTGACACACGATATAGAGGAAGCTTACTAATGTCACATCAAGCGAAAAATTCCCCTCAAATGACACGATTTGATTCATTTTCTATAAAGTTAAAAAAATATGTATTTTGTGTGTTTTTGTCTTTGAAGAGCATCTCTATGTGGATATACATATGAGATAAGGCCATATACAAAGGAAATTAAGAGAAGGACAAAACGAGATTCAGGACAGTGGCTCTCTCAGGTGGGAGCAAGTTGGGGGGGGGGGCAGGAGGGATGTGACGGAAAAGGACCAGTGAGTGGATGTCAGTTATGACGCATCTAGTTTTCTTGCTGACCACTACAGATGGATGGACAGAGAGAGGCAGAGCAATGGATACACAAACGAGGGCCAGGTCCACACAGGGACCAAGGACGACAGTTACGTGTCGGGATCACAACTAGTCCAATTCTAGGTACCTAAGGGCCCAAAGAAAACACAGCAATTTTAAGAGCTTAGCAAAAGAAATAAATTACATATTAAGAATTTTAAAATACACTGAATTACATCTATTAAATAGTATTTTATTATTTTTTTAAGATTTTATTTATTTATTTGAGAGAGAGAGAACAGAGGGAGAGTGAGAGAGAGAAGCAGACTCCCTGCTGAGCAGGGAGCCTGACAGGGGACTCGATCCCAGGACCCTGAGATCATGACCTGAGCCGAAAACAGACGCTTAACTGAGCCACCCAGGCGTCCCTACTTTATTATTTTATTATTATTTTTTAAGTAGGTTCCATGCGAGGCTCCATGGAGCCCAACACAGGGCTGGAACTCATGATCCTGAGATGAAGAGAGAGATGTTTCACCAACTGAGCCAGCCAGGCACCGCAGGAAATAATACTTTAAGCAGAATACACCAAGTTTTAATCCTTTACAGACAGCCCAAGGAAGTGGAAATGTATCTTTTCAACGTTAACCAGAATGTTAATAGGCTGAAGTTTGAGCTAGCTTACCTCTTCTTGAATATACTGCAGTAAGAAGGGAGAAGCTCTTAAATTATCAACAGGAATATTGAAGAAGCCTTGAATTTCCTTCTGGTGTAAATCCATAGTAATGAGATGAGTTAGACCTTTGGAAACAAAGCAGACACAAACACATGAATAGTTAAATAACCAGTCACAGGGTATGAACTAAGCATATATAAAATACAATACAATACACAATAGCTATTTAAAAAATTGCTCTCTCATCAAAAAGACTCAGTATCTTTATTTCTCAGATTTTTCAGTTCAATGAGACTGTGAGAGAACAGAAAACATATATAGTGGTCTCTGCCCCCTCGTTCCTGACACAGGACTCCCAGAACCCTTGTGAATTCCTAAGTGATAAGAGCGCTAGGAGCACCTTTTATTCTGATGAGGTGACCCCCAGTGGGCTCTTGGAGGGGGAGACCAAGAAAGGCGTAATTAGAAGTTTGGAATTTTCAGCCCTCACCTCCCATTCTCCAGAGAGGGGAGAGGGGCTGGAAATGGAGTTAATAATTGACTGAGGAAGCAGAGGCTTCGGGGAGCTGCGAGGTTGGAGGTGAACAGGTGGAGATGCTGGGAGACTGGTGCATGTCAAGAGGTCACAGGCTCCGCAGCCCTCCCCACATCCTGTCCCCTCTTATCTCTTCCGTCTGGATGTTCATCTGTGTTCTTTATCGTATGCTTTTACGATAAAGTGGCAACAGTAAGTGAACAGTTCTCCTGAGTTCTGTGAGCTGCTCTGGCAAATTAATCAAATCCGAGGAGTGGGTCCTGGAAACCTCTGATTTACAGCAGACTGGTAGACACACAGGTGACAACTTGGTCTTGCAGTTGGCATGGGGAAGGGGCTGTCTTGTGGGACTGAGCCCTTAACCTGTGGGATCTGACACTATCTCCAGAATTTCGTTAAACTATAGGATACCTAGCTGGTATTCTCATGGAGAATTGCTAAGTGTAGGGAAAACCCCCTACACACTTGGTGACCAGAAGTGTCAGAAGTGACATCTGTGTGTGGGTAGAAGAGACACACTTGGGAGGTGAATGGGCTTTTCCCTACTGAAAAGGGAAAGACAAGTGATTTTCTTACATGAAGATACATAATTTTCACATCAATTTATAGTTTTTTAAAATAGCACAGATAATACTAATGAAGAAATGTCTCTGATAATTGGAAAAGTTTTAAAAAATCAAAACTTGCCCAAAAGAGCAGGAAAGTCAACCTGGTGGCCCAGCCAGGATGAAGGCCAGAAGAGAAGAAGAGCAGAATCTTTCTGGAAGGTTCGGTGAGCTAGCCTGCTCCCTTCAGCCAGCTTTTAAAACTCTGAAGACTTTTCAACAGGATATACTGTTGAGGTGGCTGGGCTTCAGGTTCCACCAAATCTGTGTATTTTCTTTCTTTCTTTCTTTTTTTTTTTTTTTTGCCTGCTTTGGAACGCTACAGTAGAAATTTTATTCCACAGTAAGTGTCTGTGTTCAAATGCAGTGAAATGGGGGCTGTCTTGTCCTTTCCTCTCTGGGCCAGTGCTCTGGGTTATGTGGCCTCTAGAGTCACCTACACACACACACACACACACACAGTAACGCCTCTGAAGGTTATAGAAACAAGGGGAAGACACTTAGGACGTGACCTGAAAATACACAACACAAAATAACACATATGGTTTGCAAAATATGCCAATCCATCCTGGACAAGACTAAAAGTTGTTGCCATGTTAGAGTGCCTGGTTCCAAAAATGCCTTTTTCCCCTTCAAAAACGACTTCGATGCAATTTTAACTTGTCATTTCAATGTAATTTTTTAAACAAAGACCTTAGGGAAAAATAAGTTGTTCTCCTTAACTTAGTGTTTTAGGGAGTTGGGAACAGAAGAGAATTCTCTGCACTGCTTTCTCATTATAAATTAGCTGTCTTTAAAAATAGTCTTTTTTCGGGGCACCTGGGCGGCTCAATCGTTAAGCGTCTGCCTTCGGCTCAGGTCATGGTCCCTGGGTCCTGGGATCGAGCCCCACATCGGGCTCCCTGCTCGGCGGGAAGCCTGCTTCTCCCTCTCCCGCTCCTCCTGCTTGTGTTCCCTCTCTAGTTGTCTCTCTCTCTGGGTAAATTAAATAAATAAAATCTTTTTTATTTTTTTTTTAAGATATTTATTTATTTATTTGAGAGAGAGTGAGAGAGAGAGAGCACATGAGAGGGGAGAGGGTCAGAGGGAGAAGCAGACTCCCTGCCGAGCAGGGAGCCCGATGCGGGACCCGACCCCAGGACTCCAGGATCATGACCTGAGCCGAAGGCAGTCACTTAACCCACTGAGCCTCCCAGGTGCCCCTAAAATCTTTTTTTAAAAAAAGGTCTTTTTTCTTCTTAGAGTTCTAATTTAGTTAAGACAAGGGGTTACAGTGTCTAAGGTAAAAATCAAACACCCAGGCCCAATAAATGTCAAGTATCTGCTGTTCTCACCAGCTTTGCACATCATCGAAGCCAGCAATTTAGAGACAATGGAGCCTCTTTTTCTCATCTTGCACTGTTTGCTGTAAGGAAAGTAGGGTATCACGCCGATAATGCTTTTGGCACAAGAGGTCTTACATGCGTACACCATGATCAGGAGCTCCATGATGGTGGTGTTCACGTCCCTGCGTCCCAAGAACGTAAGACACGTGATTAGTATCTCCCTGTCCCCACAGAATGGCAGCAATGTGCTCCTCGTGCCTCTACCGGGACCTAAGGCTCGAGACACAGAAAAGGCATGAACATTCCCTCACGCCAATGACCCTACTTCCTTTTTCCCTGAAAGAAGAACCCAGTCAGAAGGGAGAGGTTCCATGGACTCCCATCGCCATGTGTAGCCGCACCCCACAAGTCGGCCTGCCCTCCGCCATCAGAGACAAACTTTCCACACCAAAGTTACTCTGCAATTAGCCCTCCCGATGACGCCCTAAACAACCCCCGCACCCCCCCCCACTCCTCCCCAGGCTACTGGAAGATAGGGCTCCAGCCATTCTCCCTCTCTTGCGTCCGCCATCAGCTTGGTACACTCCCCTGGCTTGTACCCATCGGCCTAGAAACACTGTTGTTCCATTAGAAACGACTGGCGGCCACTCTTCCCACTGCCCTATTTCTTTGCTCCCCTGTGTGTACATCTCAAGACAGCTGTCCACGCTCACCGTCTCGCTCTCTCCCAAACACGGGCCAATCCGGGTCATCCACGACCCCCACGCGCCTAGATCCAAGGACAATTCTCCTGCTCCTCTCACCTGAGCCGCGGGCAGCAGCTCCCACAGCTGCTTACCCTGCTTGGCCCACCTGGCTTCTAGAACTTCCTCGCTGTTCTCCTGTTCTGCCCTACTTGGCTTCTCTGGCTGGTTCCCCTCCTCCCCCCTTCCTGCCCTACACTCATTCATGTGCGCCCCCTTTGGACTCCCCTTAGCCCTTGGGCTTCTCATCTAGTTTCACAGCTTTCTAGAAGCTGGAGAGACTCCAGATCACAGCCTCAGGCCAAGCTTCTCTTCTCAACTCCAGTCCAGCAACACTTTTAGTGTCCTAAAATGAAAGATAAGATGTATCTGACAACATCAAATCTCAACGTTAACTATTTCATAAAGACCCCGATGGCCAGGCTCTCCGGCAACCTGGCAAGACTAAGAATCCCTGAGTTCACACAAGGTCACGGTTCGGGACAATGCAAAATGAGACATGCAGACAGTTTTAGCTATGGGAATAAGAAACCAACAAGAGGCGGGGCAGAATGGTTAAGTGTTGAAATAAACCAAAAAGAAAGAAAAAGGATGGAAGGACCTGGAAACACGCAGGACGTCATAAGCCACGCTGTTGAAGCCCTGAATCCTACGTCCAATTTGGCCTTCAAGGGCCCACTTATTCCCTTGTGTAAGGCAAGCGACTTCTGTGCATTTATCCACACGGATTCACATGTGTCTGTAAGGAGATCAAAGTACCGCAGACACCCAGGAGCCAGCAGCAGAGTAAATCGAAAGTCGTTCTGTGCTCTGCGCTTTCCCCACCCCAGTGCCGGAAGGTAGTGGGCAGGTGTGGGCACAGGGGAGCTCCCCACTAGCACCCCGGCCCTTCAGCTGGCCGGGGAAAGAGGACAGCGGTGGCAGGGGCCGCAAGAACTCGGTGCCTCCTAGCCCAGGGGCATCCTCTGCCAAGGATGCTAAATGGCACAGGAGAGATGAAACAAGGGAACCTCAGCAAAGACCAGCCACCCCCTCCCTTCGTCAGGTCACACACACTCCTAGGAAGGCTTGTGGTGCGACGACAGGTCCCCTTCAACTCGTCTTTCCCGAAGAGCCAGGTGGCTACGAGATTTCATCTCCATGAACCAAAGACCAGGACAGATGTTCAAAATATAAGTGAAAGTATCTGTGTTCCGTGTCTAAATTCTCCTGAAACGTGGCTCTTCTTCCCCCTCCTTGGTATTTGTTATACGAATAAACGCAGATCTGACATGCAGCGAAATTTAGAACCTCTAAGCTAAAAAATGATGCCCTGTACAAACTGACTTCCAGACATTAGAAACCGAGTGAAGCACTTTCATATACAGAGGCATGTGGGGACATCTGTGGACCGCATGGTCCTTGATCGAACACGACACCTCACTGCACTGACTCCTCCACACCGAGCTCACACGGCTGAGGCCTTGACAATTTCCAGAACATACGTTTGTCAAACATCACACCACACAGGACTACATATTCCTTCAATACATTATTCTTTTATCTTCTCCGCTCATTTAATCTACACAACAAAATAAGAACTGGGGATCATTTTTTAAATTGCCTGCAGTCAAAGCTTTAAGAACCCCAAGTAAGTAAACACCTCTCCTCCCGCCTTTTTTGGGGAACTAGCAGAGCTTCCTTCCAAGTTTTATCAAATCCTGGCTATTGAGAGGCAATGTAATGGGTTCTATTATCATTAAGAACCTCTACTCCAAGACTTGGTTACTTCCACCCTTCAAGAACATGAAAGAACATGTAGAAGTCCGCAGTTATGTCAGAAAAATTAGTAGAGTAAGACATACCAATTTTCAAATGCTCATAACTCTTCCTGTCCAGTCAGCTCTTATTATTCTAAACACTTGTGCCCAGAAAGAAAAACCCAGAGAGCGACACTGCGTCTGTTGGATAAGGACTCACTTTGAGACAGTTTGGATGATGAAAACATCCTTTCCCCTCACGGATTCTTGAATCTGTACTCTTGTTTCTGGCAGGAAAAGGAAAAAAGGGGGGCAGGGATGAAAAAGACATATAATTTATGTTTTTTAAAATACATAAAACACTGTTTCATCCCCAATGTTATAAAATATGGAAACTGGAACTGTTAAAGAAACTCATGAAGTTTTAGGTGCTGTAAAGGATAATGAACACACTGGCATTAATCACACTTTTCATTTTTTTTAGAGAGGGGGAGAGAGGGAGGGGAAGGAGAGAGGCTCTCAAGCAGGCTCCACGTCCAGCACGGAGCCCGACATAGGGCTCGATCTCATGACCCGAGCCGAAATCAAGAGTCAGACACTCAACCGAATGAACCATCCAGGTGCCCCAACCACATTTTTTAAACATGTCAGGTTATGTTACGTGCTTCAAAAAGAATTCCATTTCTGACTTGGAATAAGTAAACCTACCCTTCTTACTTCTCTCATATAGGCAGTGAGTGCTGTGCCACGTTGAGCACAGAATCTCTAAGGGAAATTACTCATTCATAAAACCAGCACAATTAAGAACTTATTAGGCAGGACGCCTGGGTGGCTCAGTCAGTTAAGTGCATGCCTTCGACTCAGGTCAGGATCCCAGGGAGCCTGCTTCTCCCTCTGCCTGCCACTCCCCCTGCTTGTGCTCTCATGTGTGCTCTCTCTCTCTCTGACAAATAAAAAAATAAAATCTTTTTAAAAAAAGAACTTATTAGGCAATGTTATAATAATGCTATGAGAGTAAACATAAATAAGGTCCAACATCCCTACTCTCAAAAAATGTGTGATCAGCCACAATTAGACAAATGCAGAATGGGACATTCTTCAAAGTCAATGTCATGCGAAGAAAGAACTGTTCTAGATTAGGAGAAACTAAAGAGATAAAAAAACATATTGCTTGAGCCAAGAATCCTGGTTTGAAAAAACAAAACACCCAGCTATAAAAGGCTCTCCAGGACAACTAGGGAAATTTGAATAGAGACTAGATATTAGATAATTAGAAAACAGTCATTAATTTCTTTAAGTGTGACAACAATAGTGTACTCATGCGGGAGAAAGTGCTTATTCTTGAGAAGCATGGTCAAGCGTTCAGGGCTTAAGTGACTTGATGCCTGCAACTTACTTTCAAAAGGTTCCACACATATGTATCTATATTGCAAAATCACACCTGTTGAATCCAAGTAGCAGACATACATATGGATATTCAATGCACTATTCTCTCAACTTTTTTATAGGTCTGAGTATTTTCATTCAAAATGTTGGAAAAAACAGAATACATGTTTACAAAGGAATGTGGTACCAAGGAAAGAAAATGAGCTTTAGAGTCGGGGAGATCTGGGTTTGAATCCTGACTCTGGTACTTTGGGGACCTCATTCTTTGATCACCCCTGAACGCGGTTCTTCAGTATCTGCTAACAGTGAGAAATCCACAAATGTCAGTTCCTGCCTTCCTTCCAATAGACACCAAGTATTTTCTCTGCCTCCATTCATGAACGCGAAGGATGGACCAAATTCCTCCTGGACCTTCTGCTACCAGTTCTCCCTCACCCTCCCTTCCAGACTACACAAAGGATATCATGCAATCCGCTTTAGTAGCAGATTAAATCATTTGCAGTTTAGAAAGGTCCGAACTCAGCACGCGGTCTGTTTGAGATTCTCCCTCCCTCACCCTCTTCCCTTCCCACTTGGTGTGCTCTCTCTCTCTCAAATAAATAAATCTTAAAAAAAAAAAAAAGGAATAACAACCAATTAATACTGTGGCCACACGGGGTTTTCTTGTTCCACCCAAGGGGACATAAACTCAGACAACTGCTGAATTTCCATTCAGTGGACCAGTTGCATGCATCTCTGCGGTTTTTACTGGATGAGGTCTGAGAGTTGGAGTTCAAGCCCCACACACTCTATATCCACTTGGTATCAGTAAGAGCTAAAGCACCACTCTCACCACCTTGCCCACCTGACTTCGTGCGGAACTAACCGGCCACTGGGTCCAACTGTTTCAAGAGTGGAGGATGAGGGACTGAGCCAGCATGTCACATTCCATAAAAAGATCAACGTAACACATGTCCAAGATAGCTCACCTCTGTTAGGTTCCTGGTAAACCTGCACTTTGCCCATCTCCACCCCCAGCCGCCTAGAGAAGAGAAGGGGGGGGGGGAGTTGAAAAGATAATAGAGACATAATCCATCCAACATCTTTATAATTTGAGGATGCTTCAGAAATTCATAAAAAGATAAAGCAAAATAAAATAGAGGCACTCTTATTATAAAACTGAAAGTGGATATGCTACTGGTTCTGTCACTCCATTACCTAACCCCCCACGGCCACCCGCCGACCCCAAGAAGGCCTCCGGAGTCCTGCTCAGCCTGCCTCACTGACCATTTCCCTGTGCCCTCTGCCCTCCGGCCGTGCTCCTGGTCTATACCAACACCTCCTGCTGCACACCTCAGGGACCTTGCACCTTCTGTCCCCTCTGCCTGGAGGGTTTCTCAAGTCACATACCATCCCCTAGGTTTAAAAGGCACCCAAGCCCCCAAGCTAAAGCAGAACAACCTGCCCAAATTGTTTCTTTCACGCTGTTTTCTTCACACTATCTATCACCACCAGAAATTTTGTTTTGTTGACTTCCTTCTTGCCTGGCTCCACAACTAAATATAAAAAGCAAGGATCCTGACTGGTTTGTTCACCGTTAATCCCCAATATCTAGATCAAGGCCTAGTACCCACCCAGGAGGGCGGTTCGATCTTTATTGGCTTTTTTCTTAATGTAAATTTTGTTAGTTAACATACAGTGCAATATTGGTTTCTGGTGAAATTTTATTTAATAAATAACTAAGACTATACTGGACTGTAATCTAGATAAACTATTTCATAGAGAATACACTCCACTGTTCTTTATAGTCAAGTAATTCTATACACGTGTGGCACTGAACACAACCCCTGGCACTCATGAGGACTCAATAAACGTCTGTTTAACAAACATGTAGGGGATTACGAGTTTTACAAAAAGGTTAGCCCTTAATATATAGATGATACACAGATTAACTACAAGATATCTGCTCTTGAGTTGAACAATCAGTGCTCTTGCAATCATCAAACTTAAAACACCACATAATGAATATGGATTTTAATGGTACGATTATAACTCACTCGGCAATCTTCTTCGAGAGCTCCATACATGATGAATTAGAATTTGCTGAAAACAACACCAGACCTCCTTTGGTTATGTTCATCTTGGTTTCTAATTCAGGTGGCGCCACACAAAACATCAAAACCTTCTTGGTTTTCCAATTCTCAGAGCCTAGGAGGATTAAAAGTATATTAACAACTGCCAGAGAATATTAAATTCACCTGAATGAACTTTTTTTTTTTAAATAGCAAATGACTTAAGCTGAAGGAGATTAGTGTTCACCATCATGGAGTCTCTTATGTTACATCTATGTATGGACAAATAAAAAGTTCGTTTGGATTTTAGGGTTCCTAATTTATGGAAATATGTTAAATGATTTAATTAGTTTTCATGACCACTGGGAATAAATGATAAACTTACAAGAAAGGTGGAGCTGAAGAGCTCAGTGTTTTACTGTTTTGCTGCTTAAAGTCAATTATGGACAACCTCCTTTTATTCTCTGACAACAAAATTCCTCCTGGATTAACACACAGAAAAATGGCAGCGCCATTAGCAAGGACACGGACTGATGGACCCTTAAATCATGAATAAATAACCCATCTATGCCCATTATATTTTCCTATAATAACTATTTACCCCAAAGCCCTCCCCTGGCCTGTCAGCTGCCTAATGCCCTGAGCAACGTCTAAGGCAGACCTTGCCACCTGCATTTTCCTGAACTGCAAGAAAAGGCAGACCAAAAAATAACCCTGAGGGGAAGTGAGCAGACCACCCAACTGACAGGCAGCAGGGCACAGACAGAAAAGCCCCCGGCCTCAAAGTCATCAGAGGTGAGGTGGTCATCCCACATTCACGTGCCCTCCCACCTTCCACTCTCTGGGTTGTGTCCTTATCACCCAAGGAAGGTGCAGGACTGAGGTGCCCCAGCAACAGTCTCAAAGGCCACGGGGGCATGGGGGCACCTTCCCAGCAAGCACACTGCGCTTCCTCAGGTGCAGCTTTACTTGGCATGGCCCCAGGAAGGCCGGTGGAGATTATGAAAAGAGATGAAGCTGAGGCGGCTCTTTTTTGCTGTTCTTCCATTTTAATTACAAGAGTAATACACAAACGCATTCTCCTTGGGAACATCGGAACCAGGACCGTTTAGGCTAAAGTCACCAGCCCCCGTCCCAGGCCCCTTCCTACCCACCCTCCCAGAATGGACAGTTCTTATTAGTTTGATACGGACACCATCAGACCTTTACGCATTCACACGTGGCCCTCCCCTCATAAAAAGATTAGGACACGGGGCGCCTGGGTGGCTCAGTTGGTTAAACCGCTGCCTTCAGCTCAGGTCATGATCCCAGGGTCCTGGGATCGAGCCCCACATCGGGCTCCCTGCTCATGCAGGAAGCCTGCTTCTCCTTCTGCCTGCCGCTCCCCCTGCTTGTGCTCTCTCCCTCTTCTCACTCTCGCTATCTCTCTGTGTGTCAAATAAATAAATAAATAAAATCTTTAAAAAAAAAAAAAAAGATTAGGACAAAAATACATTTCTAACATTAAAAAAATCATCGTACAAATGTATCTATCATCCTTTTTGTTAAACGATATGTTCTGACAACCCGGGGTTACAAAATATATGCCCATCTGGTCCTTTTTAACTGCTGCCAATACTCCATGGTACTGGAGGTGCCTCATTTAGCGGGTCACCATCCTAAACAGGCCTCCTAGCGCATGTGTGCGTCTCTCTGCAGTAACTGCAAGAGAACCACTGGGGCCTGGGGATGGTGCAATTTACAGGTACAGCAGCACTAGCAGGCTAGGGTTTCCCCACAGAGTGCCTCTTGTGGGAAATGTGGAGCAGGGCAATGAAATTTACCTACAGCCTGTGAATTACAAACAGAAACGCAGGCATAAATGGCCAAAGCCCTAAGGAGACCAAGGAGGACTGGTGGTGCCTACCATGGAAGGTGGCTCAGGAGCAGGGATTAGCCAACTACAGTCCACGGGCCAAACCAGGTCCCTCCTAATGCTATTTCTGTACATAAAACTGTATCGGAACACAGCCACGCTCACTGCCTACAAACGGTCTATGGATACAATGATAGAGTTGAGTGCCGGCCATAAAGCCGAAAAAGAGCTGATTATCTGATCCTCTACAGAAGGTCGGCTGACCCCTACTTTATGGCATAGTGTGGGGCAGAGTGGCTGGTATACATGAAAGAACGTTCGCAATACTCAAAGTTGGAAGAGATCTTAAGTATCTTCCGACACTGTCTCTCAACCAATATACGTGTGTTCAGGAACACAGGGTACAGGTCTGGAAGAGGAAACTCATTTTCCTGTAGTTAGAAGTACAGGCTTTGGAGTCAAACTCATGTTTGCATCTTGGCTCCTACTTAGCTCCCTGAGAGGCCCTGCATAAATTCATCTCTCAGTCTCAGTTCCCTCATCCATACAATACATGAATATGGCCCTTACAGGGTCACTGTAAAATTAATTTCTGTACAGCACTTAACAAAGTGTCCCACATAGAGGATCTGCTTGGTAAATGGAAGCTACATAGGAATCAACTGTTAATATTTTGGTTTTCTCCTGAACAAGTACAGTAATACACATGGGGTGGCCCTCTTTTTATATCCCCCAATCTTCAAATAAGAAGATTCTTAAAAGTACCACAGTGTTCTTGAGAGGGCTTGGAACACTCAGAAGCATCTGAGGGCAGAAAGAGCTCTTAGAGGTCAATCGGCCCATCTACAGGACTCCAAGAAACCACTCCAGGAGCTTGAAGAGCTCCGGAGACTGATGCCCACATCCTGGGGCCCATTCATTCCAAACTCTTCTTAGAATATGCTAAACTTCCTCTCCTGCAGTCGCCACTCCCTGGTCCTTGCCCTTCCCTTGATAATTTACAGCAAACATCAAATTCCTTTGCTGCAGGGCAGTGCTCCACCTATCTCTAGATGGCTCTCTTAGCTCTGTGTATATTCTCTTCTCCAAGCTACTTCCTGGAGCCTTTCCTTACTGGTCATAGTTTAAATGCCCTTCACCACTGACTGTGGCCGCTTAAGTCCCTGTCTTCAGGTACCAGGTTTCTGTAACTGAAACCTAACCTGAGATTATCCTCAGAAATGGCACCGGAAGGGGAGGAAGGGGGGTCCATGTGGAAATGGTTATCGATACAGTCATGTTCTGTGACCATTCATTCTACAAGATGTTCAAACCTAAGGGCTGTTGCTAGCTTTGGTTCTCCTTTTCCCTACTAGAAATGGAAGTTGTGCTCTTTACCAAGCTTCAAGAAAAGTGAGTTTTAAAAGATTATCCTCAGAAACATAATCACCAGGATGGGGCTGGCAGGAGGCTCATTAGCACAAAGCTTCAGTGCGAAATGGAATCCACAAACTACAGTTGCTTTTACCTTTATCCTAAATTTATTCTAGAATGTGTGAGAATTATTTATACCACGTATGAAAACTCACCCTTTTCAGAGACTCTCGGCCCCTTTCAAAAAGCAAATCCTACTCCTCTTTGAATGAGATATGACAACCTATTAGGTCTCATGAATGAATCCACACTGAAAGACCACTTGCTTTGGATGTTGCCAGCAGTCATTTCAAAACCACTTCTCCATATTTTGGATGAGGAAGGCTCGCATTAGAGCATGATGCTTTCCCTCCAAAGAGCCCACTGTACAAACACCTCCTATCTAAAATGCTGGAGAAGGAGTGTGAAGTCTTGGGTCTGTCTTCCACGGTCCCTAGCTACCAGTCCTTGGGTAGGTCCCTTGGTCAGGCCTGTGCCTCTCGCTTCCTGACAACAGAGATACATGCTTAGTAAAAGATACATGCTTAGTAAAATCAGCTTCCTCCACCAGAATTTAAGGTCCGGGACAGCAGAGATTTTTTTCTCACCATTACGTCCTCTGCTGTACGACCAGAGCCTAGTACCTGGCACATCGAAGAGGCTCAGTGATATTTGTCAAACAGCAAACATCTGTTGCGTAAAGTCTGACCTGGTTGAGTTGCAATGATTAATAAATGGAACTAGAAGGCATCCTAAAGCGCAAAGAATGATTATTTTTATTAGTGATGTCCCTCAAAAAAAAAAATGCTTTTTATATCACTGCTGAAGAGAATTAGTAGGGCAAAAGCCTAAGCTGAGTGGCTGTGTGATAGACACTGGGGAGGGTATGTGCTATGGTGAGCGCTATGAATTTTGCAAGACTGTTGAATCACAGATCTGTACCTCTGAAACAAATAATGCAATATGTTAAGAAAAAAAGAAGAAGATAGCAGGAGGGGAAGAATGAAGGGGAGTAAGTCGGAGGGGGAGACGAACCATGAGAGACGATGGACTCTGAAAAACAAACTGAGGGTTCTAGAGGGGAGGAGGGTGGGGGGATGGGTTAGCCTGGTGATGGGTATTAAAGAGGGCACATTCTGCATGGAGCACTGGGTGTTATGCACAAACAATGAATCATGGAACAGTACATCAAAAACTAATGATGTAATGTATGGTGATTAACAATAAAAAATTTAAAAAAAATTTATAGAAAAAAAAAAAGCCTAAAGCTGAATTAACCTCTATGCCTCTGTGATCCCACTTTGCCCATCTCCCCATCAGCATGTTTTCCTACAGCAAACATCATTTTCTGAGTGCTCTGAATTCTTATGACAACTCAATAAAGCAGGCACCAGATGAGGACCCATTTTACACATGGGGAAATGAGGCTTTGAGATGAAGAAACGTGCTCAAGCCTGCATGGCCTCCAAGCAGCAGACATTAGCTCAGTTTCAGTCTGACTTGGAGCACACAGTTGTACGCACAGCTTGTCTCTCAACAGCACAGAAAATGACTGGACTCCCCTGCTGAATTTGGCATTACAGTGAGCAGGATCGGACAAACATCCAGATTTTGAAAAAGGTCTACAGCAAACATGCTTGTTTAGGAAACAATTGATACCAAGTGTTAAAGAAAGAACACAACACAGAACTTTGATTCAGTATTTCCCCTTTTGGGAATTTATACCAAGGGAAAGAAAGCAAAAGCCATATATGCTCAATGATGGTCACTGCAAGATTTTTTTAAGAGCAACACTGGACATGTAGAAAGGATCCGTAATGGGGTAATTAAGTAAAATTCTGAATATATATTCAACACAATAAAAACGGTAATAAATCTCCAGGACTATGCAGAAGTCCTTAAGTAAGAGCAGAATTTCATCTCATCAAAACTGGGTGATAACGGTTTAGACGAGGTCAGGATAGGAATACGGACAGGAATAAGGGTATGATTCAGTGGAGTTCAATAATGTGACTGAATTATTTTTATTTGCGCATTTAAATCTTTTAAACATTAGAAATCACACTTCCTCATGCCCCAAATCCCCATTCCGCATTTGCTTATTCTTTGTAAAAGCTAAACAACCTAAACTGCACCAGTATCAAAATAAAGGGAAAAAAATCCTTATCATCAATGTAATATACTGGGGGAAAACATTTTATCGTAAAATAAGACCTAAAAATTACATCAAGGTCCTCCCTCCTGGGTGAGTTCTGGGTGGAACAAAAAAAAATAAAAAAATAAAAAACCGGCTATAGGGTAACAAATGTCTGCGACGAGCAAGGCCAGTCAACTTAACATCAGGGGCCGTGTCGGATTAGGGGCCGGAGATGGCTGGGCTGGAGGCTTATTTTCTGAGCCGTCTGGCCGCAGCTCCCATAATTAGGGCTCGACTCCCAACGGCGCCTGAGCGGGGTAACCCCGGGGCCCGCGCGCAGGGCCCGAGCCCCGCGGACCCCGGACGGGAGAGGAGGGAGGGAGGAAGGGGGCGGCTGCGGGCGCGAGGCCGGGGTCGCCCCGCTGTACCCCCCCCAGCCGCCGCCCCGGGACCGCGCGACCCGTCCGCCAGCCGGCGCCGCGGGGCTCCCCGCCCCTTGCACCTGCGCCCCGCAGTGCCGGAGCCCGCCGGTCCGCGCCGCCACTCGTCGCTGGCTCCCGCCCGCCTACCTGGCCCCGACCCCAGCCCCGGCCCCGCCGCAGCCTCGGCTGCCGAAGGAAGAAAGCGCCAGCTCTCCAGACGGCTTCTCTAGGAGCAAAATGGCGACTCCATGCGCAAGAACGGCGTCCGCGGCGACTGCGAGGCCTGTGGGCGGGGCAGAGGGCGGGGCCGGGAGCCGGGATTGCAGAGGCACCTGGCTTGGGGCCGTGGGCGTGGCCCACCCGAGGGGAGGAGCGCGGCCGAAGGGCCGGGCTAGAGGGGTGGGGCCAGGCCGGCACGAGGGGCGGAGATGGGCGGTGCTGAGCCTCATTGGGCCCCTTGGACGCGGCTATCCCCCAGGTGGCTGTGAATGAGAGCGAGCGTGTGGAATCACAGATGTCTGGGTTCGAGTCTTTACTGGCCTGTAACCTTGGGCAAAGTCACTTCACCCCCTCCGAGCCTCGATTTCCTCAACTGAAAAATGGAAATGATAGTAGCATCCGTGTCATGGGGTTGTGAGGAGTAAATGAGATAGCACCTGCGAGCTTTTTAGCTCAGTTTCTGGCAAATAGTAAATGCTCAGTTGTTATTGTAATTATTTCCTTTCTTCTTTTATTATAAAGGAATTGGCGCTTTTGGTATCCGTTTCCTGAATTCCTTATAATTTAAGTGTGTTTAGCCTTTATTTTATATATATAACATAATAATAGCGACGACGTATGTAGCATTTATCATGTGTCAGACCAAGTCCTCTTAAGTGCTTAACATATATTAACCGTAATTTATTTAATCCTCACGAGAGAATGAAGTAGGCATTTTAACAGCTGTGGGAACTGAAACACCGACGCTGAATGACTTGACAAATGACTAAGTGGACAAGAATTGCAATCCAGGATGCCCGGCACCAAACTCTGCCCTAAGCTGACCCGTATACCGCACTGCATCTCCAACTCTGCTTTGGATTTTTCACAAGCATGACGCATGAAATCATTCATCAAAAGTGGGGCGGCGAGCTAGAAGCAGCCAACCTCTTATTTTACAATTGGGGAATACAAGCATCTCAATTTATGAGTTATAAGTTGGGTGATACTTCATGAAATGGTGTCATTTAAGACATCTCCTTTGCCTGACAACTGTACACGGACATACTTCTGCAAAGAGCGAGGCCCAGGCCCATAAGCCCACTGATACATTCGCGGCACAAAACTGAATCCTCTCCAAAAGGTACTCTGCTGGGTTTTCTTCACTTCTGCACTGTGATCTAACCCTCGTCCAACCCCACCTGCCTGCCTTGGCCAGCAGCGTGGGATCCACCGTTCACGCCGCCTGTTGACCTATGAATGGATCTGACCAATCAGGACAGCTCATCTCTCTCTCAGCTCGCTGATTGGCTCCAAGGATAGGCCGCTGAGCCAAAGGGAGCCCAGGCGACACATTCTCCAGCCTCCTGGGGGTACTGAGGCTAGAGGCTTCCTCTCTTGCTATCTGTCAGGATACCTGGAGGGGAACCGACAGAAGAAATGCTCAGAGAAGGAGAAAGGGGGAGAGATATAGATGGGCCCCGCTGAGTTTGGCTGAATCTGAAGTCAGGAGTTCCCTGGACTTTTCAATTATGGGAGCCAATAAATTTCTCCCCTCCACCCTCTAAAGTCATTGCGGATTGGGTTTCAATCATTCATTCGCAGGGGCCTGCGGGTTCTTCCCCAGCTTACTTGTTGTTCTTTCTCACCAGACTGGTCCTCTGTCTATGAACTACAGGGCCTTTGCACGTGCTGTTCCTGCCTCCCGGAATGCCCTTCCTCCTGCAGTCCTCTCCTCCATCCACTCCTCCTGAAACTGCATCTCAGCTCAGCTGTCATCTTCAAGCCTTCCCTAAACACCCCCCCAATCTACTTCATGTACTTTTTCTTCATTAAGTTTATCATGATTGCTAATTATTGCTAATTGTTTTTACTTGGATGATTATTTCATAAATATCTCCACCCCAGGTCCCATAGACTGTAAGTCCCGTTTGGGCAGGCCCTTTGTCTCTTTTGCTGACCACTATTTCCCAGTACTCAAAACAGTGTCTGACACGAGTATGGTACTCAAGAAATGTCTGTAAAATGGGTGACCTCAGATTTACCCCCTTGGTGGAAAGGAGGTGGGCAATAGCACAGAATTGTATAATATTTGCACCACACAGAGAGAATGTTCTGGAAATGTACAGATCGGCTCTCCTGTGCCAGTATGACTTGCCCCCATATAGCACTGCTTCCAGGATTCCAGTGAAATGGTTAGTTTCTCGGGGCGCCTGGGTGGCTCAGTTGGTTAAGTGACTGCCTTCGGCTCAGGTCATGATCCTGGAGTCCTGGGATCGAGTCCCATATCGGGCTCCTTGCTCAGCGGGGAGTCTGCTTCTCCCTCTGACCCTCTTCCCTCTTGTGCTCTCTGTCTCTCATTCTCTCTTTCTCAAATAAATAAATAAAAAATCTTTAAAATAAAAGAAATGGTTAGTTTCTCATCAGTTTCCCCTCATTGCAGGCACTTAGCTTCTGGTTTCCTTTGCTCTGTTATATCAAATACTATTTGTCCATCTGCCTTCCATTCTCCAAAGACTCTTTTGAAATCCCTGGGGCTGATGTCTCATCTCCCATTATCATTATCCTTGGGGTTTAGGCCTTGAGGGGAAGCTGTGGTGGACATCCAGCCCCGATGACCCAGCGGTGACCGCAGCCCCAGTCACCACCTGACTGCAACTGTAGGAGAGACCCCAAGTGAGAATCACCCAGCTGAGCCCAGTCAAACCACAGAACATTGAGAGATAATAATACACTTTTGGATTAGGTCACTGAGGTTGGAGATGTCTTGTTACACAGCGATGGGTAATGAGCAAGAAAGGAGCAGAACCAGAATTTAAAGACGTGGTCAGTTTCACTTGAATGCAGTTTTGGGCTAGTCTATTGCTAAGCTTGAGAATCCCTTGCACACTTGGAGGTTTACAAGTCTTTATATATTATGGAAGTGATCAGCCTGCCTGCATCACTTCATTGACCACATTCAAGGGCCAAACTTTTGCACATAAAATATGAGTCAAGACACCCAAGCCTAAGACATTCCCCTCCAACCTTTTCTTTTTAAAGGAAGAGAATCTTTGCTATAGTTTTTTGGAAGTTTGTCAGCAGGGTGGTAGAGCAGAAAACAGAGACTTCTCCTTCAAATAAATATTAGAATGAAAATTCAGGGACTTGACTGTCAGTCACTAGGACCAGAGTCTGCATCCTGCCTCCTCATTGCAGAAATGACCTCAGACAGAGCAGTGAGGGCACCGCCCTGAGCTTCAGTTTCCTCGCCTGAAAAATGGGTACTCAGATTAGCAGCTATATGGGGATTCGGGGTAGGGAATGACCTTTCCGTGGAGTCCAGGAGTAAAAGTCCACCAGGGGAAGCTGGCCCACCCTCGCATCTCTGGCCATCAGGAATCAACGGCTTTGTTTCTTCAGGTGGAGGAGGGTGGCGGCAGCTGGTCTGACTGTGGGAGGCAACAGAGACCAGTGGCCTGGTCAGTAGTCAAGGGGACCTTGGAAGCTTCCATCATCGAGCCCTTTCCCTTAACCTTTGGATTTTCTTTTTCTATTCCCCCCCCAAAAATGAAAAAAGCTTCATAGTCTTTCATGACTATTAATATTTACATGTAAAAAAATTGAAACATACAAAGAGAAGAAAGTAAAAAGATATTTGCCATTATCTTACCATGGAGAGATGCTCACTCCTGATATGTTTTTTTTTTAAAGATTTTTTTTATTATTATTATTCATGAGAGACAGAGAGAGAGAGAGAGAGGCAGAGGGAGAAGCAGGCTCCCAAGGAGCAGGGAGCCCGATGCAGGACACGATCCCAGGACCCTGGGATCACGACCTGAGCCGAAGGCAGACGCTTAACCATCTGAGCCACCCAGGCAACCTCCTGATACGTTTTTTTAAAAAGATTTATTTATTTATTTGAGAGAGAGAGAGAGGGGAGAGGAGCAGAGGGAGAGAATCTTCAAGCAGACTCCCTGCTGAGCACGGAGCCCAACATGGGGCTTGATCCCACCACCCATGAGATCACGACCTGAGCCAAAATCAAGAGTCTGTCACTTAACTGACTACGCCACCCAGGCACCCCACTCCTGATGTTTTTTAACCTCCCTTTTCCACTTACCAATTGATTGCAGACAGTTCACGTTAATGAACTTAAGTCAAGGTCACCGTCGTGTGTACCATGGACTAAACAGCATAGACTTGGGAATGAGATGACCTCTGTCCAAATTCCTTCTCCCCTACTCACTGGCCGTGTGACCTTTACCTTTCTGTCCCTGCTTCCTCAGCTATAGGAGGGGAATGATCACGTCTACCTCAGTAGGTTGTCGTGACGACCAAGTGACTTATTACCTGGCACACAGTTGCCAACCACTTTCTATTAGCCGCACTTACTATGAACTACGGTAATATGGATGGGCCATGATGTTTTTAAACCACCTCTAATTCTGAGCACTTTTTACTAATCTACGCAACCTATCTTTGCACTTTTGCCCAAGTATTTTTTCACGTTAAATTTCTCCAGGTAAGCTTGTTGATCAAAGGATATGCACTTTTCAAATTTTGTCCCCAAGAAATTTTGTATTAATTTATATTCTTGCCAAAAACATGAAGAGTGTCCATTTTCTCTCCTCATTCCCACCCACACCAAGCACAGTCCTTTTTTTTTTTTAATTGGCCCAGTGGATGGTCAATGTTTCCTGGGCTTTTAAAATTACTTGTCCATATCAAGCTGCCTGTAGCTCCCTGGCCACCTTGCCAGCTGAACTTCAGCTCCATTCATTCACTCAACAAATATTGATTGAGTACCCACCACGTGCCCAGTCCCAGTTAGAGAGCTGGGCCGCAGCAGAGAATGACAAAGCACCTGCCTTACGAGATGACCAAGGGGTAGGTAAGCCCCTGCATGCTAAGTGGTTGGCAAGTGCCTGCTTTAGCACCCAGGAAACGATACTATACAAGTGAGACCTTCGTAAATAAATATAGAATATAAATTTTGTAAATACATAAATGATATTATATCACCATATATGACATTCATCCCAAGTTCCCATGGGATGTCGATGCTGCCCAGCAGCCATACTTTGAGGACCACTATCTGGGAGCTCTGAGGATGAAGGAGAAGAGTGATGTTGGTGAGCTACTAGCCATCTCCATCACA